CGCGGAGAGGAGGGGAGGTGGAAACTTCGGAGTCGCCGAGCACCGAGATCGATGCTCCCGCATCGGGATTGGAGTCGGAAAACTCTCCCGGATTTTCGTGGCGCGGCTCCTGAATCCCGAAAGCCGGGAGAACCGGGAGTGATTCCTCTGGAGCGGATCTTTTGCCAGGGGACGGAACAGGAATATAACGTCGTCGCCCTTAGGAAAGACCGTATGGCTATATTTCAATAGTAGAACTAAGACACACACAGGCAGCCAAAAACGGAAACAGGAGTACGAAAACAAGGAGACAGCGGAAACGAGGCTGAAATACATGAAATTATACGGGACGTTTCGGTGTCTCACGACACCATTATCAACCGCTAAAAACAGTAAAGCATAAAAAATAAAAAGTGAATTAAAATTGAAGGAAACCAGCACGGCGTTATATGGTGATGGTATGAAAGACTGCCAAATGGACCACACTTTGCAATAGGGAACCACTATTTCTGGCTCATTTTAGATTGTACAACAGGAGCCATTGGTTTCCCTATGCAGGAAGGTGCTTTCGTGGAAGAGCTGAAGATAGTGGTTCCTTATTGCAAAATTTAATCCAGATATATTTATATATTGCCAGATTTCTCACGCAAATTTCATTTTGACCGGGAGAATCTTTGGTACTTGGACCGCGTTTAGCAGGAAGGAACCAAGTCGCATCAGCTATTGCCAAAAACCAGGAAATTTAATGTTTTACATGAGAACGTTCGCGCGGATTTTTTTGAAAATTTTAAGGAATGTGCTTCATGTTATGCAGGAAATTTACTGTAATTTGTAAAAAAAAAAATCCGCGACCCATTTCCATGAAAAAAAATTAAATTGCCCCGTTTAATTTGGCAAAGTTGATGTGGCTTGGTTCCTTTCTGCTTAGCGCGGTCCATCGACGGTGAAACTACCAAACCACGTATCTCGTTTGCGGTGTTTAAAAATCTACGCTCGCATTTTATTTTTTTGGAGTCGACCAAATCAATATCATTCCTTGAAATTTTCACAGAATTTTCTCTGCACAAAGAGGAAAAATCACAGAAATTTTCAAGACTAGACGTTAAGTAGTTTTTCATTTAAAAAATAAAGTATGACAGGAAGTCTGCGACGTCGCAAACCGAGATACGTGGTTTGGTAGTTTCACCGTCGCCATGTAACGTAGTTTCCCTTAACGATAAAGAAATTATAGCTATATTTCAATATTGCCAAATTTACCTTGTAAATTTCATTTTGACATACACATACAGAATCTTGGGTATTTCTGACTAAAAAGCTCACTGTTTTTTTTTTCTTTCTTTCTTTCTTTTTCCTTAATCTCATGCAAAACTTGGAAACAGTTTAGACAAAAATTGCGCATGTACTTCTTGTAAAAAAAAACTTAATCGTCGAGTCAGTTCTGCAAACCATGGGGTGAAGTTATGTTCCTTCGTTCGAGAGGGAGCGCTTATAAATTACGTACCGCACTTTTACCCCATTGTAACGGTACGTAACGCAACCCTGTAACTAACCCGAGTAATTCGTCATTTTTGCCCTGGTTCGTCCTTGAGTTCTTCTCGGCCAAATTCTACGATTTTTGCAATATCAGTGGATGATATTTTCTAGCTGCCCTCGCTCTCCATATTTTTTTGAAATATAACCCAAAAAGCGGCCCCATTGAGGGCACGATACGTCATCCATAAAGGCCAGAGGGTGTACCGTACCTGTATACTCTGACAAAAGATATAAGATAAAAAGTCATAAAAGTACCATTATTCGATTTCACACGAGAAAAAAGAGGAGATTTGATTGGATGAAGAGTCCAAACACTATCCAAAGGCTTAACGCGCTAGTAAGATAGCTGTCCCTGAAAAAAGAGGACCTGCGGCGTTATTGCAGGAAGCATTCGCGGGCCTCGTCGCACAATGGAACGAGCTAACAGAAAAGGTCGGCCATGAAATTGTTGGCAACAATTTCATAATTCGATGTTAATTTCGTCACAAATTCAATTTCAAGGGGTGTTTCTGAAAGAAAATTTCACGAAAAAACCAAGTAAGCCACACTTAAAGTCTTTTTTCCGTATTTCCCAAAATATGAGCTTTCAAAGTTTCCAAAGTTAGTCCGACCTCTCCTACCGACTCGTTCCCGTGTGCGTCGGTCGTCGCTCCAGGCGGATCCTGCGGGAAGCAGCAACGGCGGATGCTCCCGGTCGCTTGGCAACGCGATATCGATCTTAAGCGACGCTGCCAAATTGTGCGTCTTTTACGCTGGCTCTCATGCAAAACTACCGGCTACAGGCCTACACCTGTTCATGGGCATTGGAGAGTTGCAATTTTGTCTTCTTTTTTTTTCATGAAATATTCAATATTGAGAAAAAATATAAATATTGCTCTTGGAATTTTTCGAGCGCTCTGGACGAAATTGCGAATACAATTTGGGGGAAAATACTCGCAAGTTTTCCAGAAAATTCAAATTTTAGAGGAGGGAATTGGCAACGTACAGAGGTATATGCGGGATAGTTCCTTAGCGCGGGAGAGAACTTAAGGAATCCTCCACGGTCCCACTATGCCGCCCTCAACGTCTTGACTGCATACCATCGTCTACAGACTTTCCGTGAACCATCTAGGTTTCAAACTGATTGGGATTACGGTTGCAATACATGATCGACAATGAATCGATCGACATGAATCGATCGACAAATTGTTAAAAAATCGATGTCGATTCGATCGACATGAATCGATCGAAAAACGAAAACGTGAATCGATCGACAAATTGTTAAAAAACCGTTGTCGATTCGATCGACATGAATCGATCGAAAAATGAAAACGTGAATCGATCGAATGACACCGATTCGATCGACAAACCCGTGAATCGATCGACGAACCCGTGCGTCGATCGACAAACCCGTGAATGGATCGACAAACCCGTGAATCGATCGACGAACCCGTGAGTCGATCGACAAACCCGTGAGTCGATCCACAAATCCATGAGTCGATCTTCAAACCCGTGAATCGATCGACAAACCCGTGAATCGATCGACGAACCCGTGAGTCGATCGACAAACCCGTGAATGGATCGACAAACCCGTGAATCGACCGACGAACCCTTGAATGGATCGACAAACTCGTGAATCGATCGACAAACCCGTGAATGGATCGACAAATCCGTGAGTCGATCGACAAACCCGCGAGTCGATCGACAAACCCGTGAGTCGATCGAATTTTGTCGATCGAATCGGTGTCGATTGATTCACGCCAATCGATTCACGTTTTCATTTTTCGATCCATTCATGTCGATCGAATCGACACGGGTGTTTTTAAATTAACTGTCGATCAAATCGGTGTCGATCGATTCATGTCGATCGAATCGGTGTCGATCGATTCATGTCGATCAAATCGACACCGGTTTTTTAACAATTTGTCGATCGAATCGGTGTCGATCGATTCATGTTTTCATTTTTCAATCGAATGCATACCCTCCAAGATTATTCAATGTTGGGTAAAAAAAAGGGCATTTGGATGAAACGGCAGTTGTTTCCTTTCCGTTTGCAAGCAACTGCCTTACTGTCGTTGAATCGCGATATACTGGATTGACCGCAAGCAACAAAGCGGCCATGTGTAGAAATATAAATCAGAAGACTACTAAGCATGACAGTCCAAAAGAAACAACTACGCAAGTAGGGTGCATGCGCTAGTCAGTCTTACACAAGTTCTATGCATGAGCATCAAAGTTAGCGGGTAATTCAAATCGAGTTGAACAACTCTGACCATCCGGAGTCCGGTAATTCACCGTTTGCAAACAATCGCCTTCGACAATGCACCTTCTATCTGAAACACTGAGTGTACTACCAAGATAGACTTTAGCATCTGTAAAAAGGTAACAATAGGCCAGTAATTCAATGGGTAATTTCTGCTATGACTCTCTATTGCCGGAGGGTATGGATTCGATCGACATGAATCGATCGAAAAATGAAAACCTGAATCGATCAACACCGATGCGATCGACAGTTAATTTAAAAACACCCATGTCGATTCGATCGACATGAATGGATCGAAAAATGAAAACGTGAATCGATCGACGTGAATCAATCGACTCACGGGTTTGTCGATTGATTCACGGCTTTTGTCGATCGATTCACGGTTTTTGTCAATGGATTCACAGGTTTTTCGATCGATTCACAGGTTTGTCAATCGACTCACAGCTTTTGTCGATCGATTCACGTTTTCATTTTTCGATCGATTCATGTCGATCGAATCCATACCCTCCCTATTGCCTACTGTAAACACGACTTCTGTGAATACATTAGACAACCATTTCCAGGCACCTGTTGCAGCACAATTCCTGCGGTGGACATATTTTGGAGTAGGGCAGAAAATACGAGTGTCATTTCAATTTACTCTCTAAGAAACAAAGCCACCTGAAAATTACAATAGAAGAATAAATACATACCTGCTTCAAATTGACCAGTTAAACGCTGAGTACTCATGTCATCAGGTCACAGCCTTTGAGAAGAAAATTAAGAGATGACAGTCCTCACATAACTTTTCAAAATATTTACAATTGCAAGTTAAGCAACTGAAACACATAGTGTGAGATAAAGGTTTCACTAAAATGAATTGAAATGAAATAAATGAAACTGCAGCAAACCAGAAATCCTCTTATCAAAAATATTTGTTTACTTTCGGCACGTGGAGCCAACGTTTCACTTTTGGGCGCTCATCATTCAGCACATGGCCGCGCAGTTTGGAGGTTAAGAATCTTGTTTTGATTTTGTGGCACCTCTAATTTCTTTTCCAGCCTTTTTTTGTGTTATCTCACAGCAGTCTGACGAAAAGCTTATTTCCGACCATGCCTGAAGCGTAAGTTAGCAATAAAATGCACACTTTCATCATCTATCTAGGATAATAATAAATAACTTTCATCAGAATTGATAAAAACCAAACGCTATTGATAACACTGATAACACATTCATGGAGTGTTTTTGTACAATTTGCCAAGCGATAATAGACCATTTGTCATTGTACAAGGATACATTTTATTGAAATTCAGTGACGTTCATATTTTTGACTCATATTGAACTCTGCACAGATGCGTCAGTCATCGATGCATAAGTATAGGATGTGTACAATCGCAAACTTATGCACTGTTCAAATTGTTCGCAAGCGTATCTTCAGTTCAGAAGTAAATTAAGTCTGAGCAGGCTGAATTCACTCGTTTTGCCAAAGTTTCAACCGACCCTGAATGTTTCTGAATCATTTATTTGGGCCAGCGAATGAGATGGGCTAACTTTCATCGCTATTTCATCATTCATTCGCTGACCCATACCCTAATTATATTGACAAGCTGAAGTTGCAAGTTTTGCACCTATCAGAACTGCCAAAGTTATTATCGTTGCTCACCGCATGCTTACAGTTTTGGACAGGAAGGGTCTGTTGATAAGAAAGGAAAGCAGAAGATCTGTAACAAGATAATAACAGAAGGCATTCCTTCCTCAGGATATGAAGAATCGATTAATCTGTTTACTACATAAAGGACCCTTGGAGTCATAGCCCCTTTTTGCAGCTCATGCCGCATAATTTGACAGAGGACTTTTGGCCAAATACATTCAATTATTGAATGCATACCTAGTGACCTTTGAGTAGTTTGTTTAATAATCAAATGGAGTCCTTTTCTAAATTACCACTAAAGGTCATTTGATTGATCCATAATTTAAATTTACAGACTCCAACGCTGCATTTCACATTTGATAATTTTTTTTGTTCCAGGGAGCAAAATCCGGGGGCTGAGAAATCAAAGAAACAGCTGAAGAAAGAAGCAAAGGAAGCAGAAAAAGCTCAGAAAAAAGCTGAGAGAAAAGCAGCAAACGTAAGTGCTTTTGATTTTGCAGTTTTGCCATGTACCCATGTTAAAGAAGTCCAAACCCAAATTTGAAGCGTCATGTTATTCCTATCTTTTAGAAGAAGAGGGTTTCAGTCCATATTATGCTCCCTAGCTCTCTTACAAAGGAGAAGGCTGAGGCCCAATGCTGAGCAATGCTTCAACTTTAAAAAGTCCTCGCTCCGTTGTTAACTGACCTTTTGGTCCTAAATTGACTTTCTTTTTTTTTTTTTCAGCCAGTTAACAATGAAGCCACAACTGAAGAAGATGTTTCAGTTGGAAAGTACGGTAACTTGCCAATGATTCAAAGTGAAAAACCCGTTGAAAGGAAGTTCATCGATATCTCAGCCTTAACACCAGAAGTGGCCAATGAAAAAGTTTGGATTCGCGGTAGGCTTCACACGAGCAGAGCAAAAGGCAAGTAACAATGCTGAACTATTATGATCAAAATTTGACAACAGTTTTTCTAGCAATGAGTTCTGCATCATATTCCTTCGCAGTTTCTATCACCCTCTTGATTTTAACTTGCATTGCAAACCATATCGATAGTGTAAGTCGGCAATCACATAACTCGGTTTGCTACGTCGCAGACTTCCTGTCATACTTTATTTTTTAAACGGGAAACTACTCAATGGCAACTCTTCAAAACTGCCGTGATTTTTTTCTTCTCAGTGCGAAGAAAATTCTGCAAAAACTTCAAGGAATGATGTCAATTTTTTCTCCTCTAAAAAAATAACATAGAGGCGGAGATTTTCAGACACCGCAAACGAGTTGTGTGATTGCCGACTTATACCGTCGATATGCCTCTTAGCTCAGAGACCCTGCAGTATAACCTTCTTTCTGTAGAAAAATAATGTTTGAAAATTAACATAATGCAACATGCTGAGCAATCTGTTAAAGAAACAAGACCAAGTTGGACGAACTTGCCTCTTAAACTATTCTACACGACATTCATTAGTCATCATCAGATCAATTCTCATCCTTTCATTACCATTATATCTTATTATCTGATCCTATGTATGTACAGGGAAGCAATGTTTCATGGTGATAAGACAACAACACGCTACTGTCCAATGTTTAGCAGCTGTGAATGAAAATAACAGTCGACAATTAATTAAATTCACATCTGGGTAAGTGAAAACTTTAACAAGCTGATTTTCCCTGTGGCAGGTAATTTTTGCTCTCTTATTTTCTGTCAAGACAGCCCAAAGAATTTCTTACTCTTAGTCCCAGTTTATTTTCCTGAAATGTTGCTTTTCCATATTGAATTTAATATTTGATTATATTTAATACCTATTGCTAATCATTCAAACCAATCAGTAAATTATACCCAGACTGCCTAAATATTTTTTTTTTTTTTACCAATTTCAAGTAGCCTATCGGCTAATCCCACGCTTGTTACCCCAGCCCCAGGTGACCATTGCCTGAGACCATCAAACTCAGATCACCTGGCCGGGAATCGAACCCGGGACCTCTTGGTCATAGGGCCAGCGCTACAACCACTACACCACAGGAGGCCGGCATTAATATTAAGCGTGGTACGTATCCAAACTTCGTATGAAGTTGAAGAGCATTTTTGGTGTGTAGGAAATTTTGCCAAGCTTAGCATGAGAAACACACTAGTGCTTGCACAGTTTTAGGGTTGGCTACATTACTTTTTGGAATTGGTAAGATTGCCTATTAGTTTTTTTTACCGTCAGTTCTCTCTCCTTCCAATTGTTACAGATAGCTCCTCAAAATTTTACTCACTTTATCCTTAATTTTTTCAGTGTAAACAAAGAATCAATTGTGGATATCGAAGGTCTTGTTCAAAAAGTGAATCAACCAATCGAGTCCTGTTCGCAAAAATTAGTTGAATTACATGTCAGCCAGTTTTGGGTGATCAGCTCTGCCAAAAGCCAACTGCCATTACTCATCGAAGATGCAGCCCGGCCGGAGAAAAAAGACGAGGTGAGTTAGATTTATGAAACTTTTGATACGATTTCTATTTCTAATTTTTGTTTTCTTGTTTTTTTTTCAGTCAGAGTGTCAGGTGTTGGTCAGTCAAAGTGTTAAGACTCCATAGTGTCATCCATGGGACCGAGTTTAACAGAAAGGAACCAAGCCACATCAGCTTTTGCCATATTTATCTGGGCAATGGACCACTTGACAAGGTACAAATTTTAGCATTCTGATACATGTTTCTTAACCAAAATTTCACGTAAAACACGATGCGCACAACGAAAATTACCAAAATTAACTCCTTACGAAGATATTTAATGATTCTTGATGCGTAAATTCAAACCACCCGCGCATGAAAACTCAATGCTCTACGTAATTCGCATCGCGCGCTAAACGTTATCATGACAGTAAGTATCTGCGATTTAAAAATCTGGCAACCTCAATTTTGACGCTTTGGCTCAGCTATAGCAAATTGCTTATAGTTTGAACAACACATGGTGGGAAATGAACATTGCTCGTTTGAGAAGCTTGCTGAAGCCGTTGTAGTGCGCGATTTGACTCACGTAGAGCTTTGAGTTTCTTGTGAGCGGGCAGTTCAAATTCCTCGTAACCAATGTGAAATAAAAACGTTAATATCTTCGTTTGGAGTTGGTTTCATCAGTTTTCGTTGTGCGAATCGTGTTCTACGTGAAATTCTGGTTAAGAAACATGTATCAGATTGCTTAAATTTATACCTTGTCTAGTGGTCCATTAAATTTTTTACAAGAGAACGTTTGTTCGGATTTCTTTGAAAATTTCAAGGAATTTGCTTCGCACCATTGAGAATTTTCACTGAAATGCTCGAAAATCCGCCCAACCGTTTTCATGTAAAAAATAAAATTGCCCAATTAAATTTGGCAATAGCTGATGTGGCTTGGTTCCTTTCTGTTTAACGCGGTCCAATTGCTGGCTCTCTTCTTCATTATTCTGGATAATTTTGATTTTTGAGTCATGTATGTAGATGAGTTTTGGCTTCTCTTCTTAGTATTAGATCCCAAAAATTGACTATGGCTGAGCTGCAGAAAGTTCCCAGCCTTCCCCCATTTTTGCCTGAAATTTATAATCTGTTCTCACTAAAATCTGTAAAAAAAAAAAAAAACCTGTTCCTTCTTAAACTTGGACTTTCGCACAGTTAATAGGCTATTAAAAGGAAAATTTGAAGCATTCTGACAGTGCTCCCCCATATTTCTTTGTTCTTTTTCACAGTTCTCTCAGGAGTATCTCATTTTGCGCAAATGGTCTCATGGCTGAGAAGGTTCTGTTTCTCTTGTGGGCAGAACTGTTAAGGAAGTCGCTTATGAAAGGCCTTTCGATCTGCTGTTTTAATTGACTTTCAGATTATGTTCTACAAATTGTGGACAGCTTTAACTATTAAGATTTGGACTCACAATCAGAGATCTCAGCGGTTTGCTGTAGGCTGAATATTGAAAGTTTAAAGCAGTCTGATAAGAACTTATCGAATTACGATATATTGCACGGTTAAGATAGGGCTATGTCTTGTCGTGTCAGGCTGACATACTTTCAATAATCGGGCCGCTGGCCCAAAAAAGGTGGTCATAAAATTTTATTGAGGTGCCAAAACATTAATCCTTCTAAACTCATATAGCACAAGAACATAGAAGAATGGTACCTAATAAGTAAGTCGGTTGATAATGTAAGAAATTGTTTCTGAATTTTTTTTTCTCTCTCTCTTTCACACCCTCTCTTTTATTTTTCTTTTCTTTCATGTACCTAGCATTATTCTGAACTTTTAAAATTTTTACAACATATTAATTCTTAACTCTTTCTCTTCATTGCTGAGTCAATCAGTCTTCTCATCACCATTCACATTCACATTTTTGTGTTAAAAAAATTGTCCTATTTAATATTTAAGTCTTTCTATTTCAGGATGCGGAAGGTTTATCAATCCGCGTCAATCAAGACACTAGGTTAGACAACAGAATTTTAGACCTTAGAACTCCAGCCAATCAAGCCATATTTAGAATTGAGGCTGAGATTTCAAGACTTTTCAGAGATATCCTTTCAGAAAAGGTAAGTTACAATGAATTAGTGGAATGTGAATTGGTTTTTTGGCAGAATTTTCAAAAAAATCCAAGTTTTTTTCTGTGCAGATCTATTGAACTCGGTTTGATTATGATATAAGTTTCACTGGGATTAATTTTCAATGAACATTGATTCCTCAGACATACTATACCTATCATAAGAATACTGATCAAATTTCTAAGTCAAAACGCCCTTTGGCAAAGGGAAAAGTATGGCATACGTTTTTTCAACGATTTATACCTAACATAGAACAAACAGATGTATTCAATATCAACCTCCTACCTGTAATTTTTTGTTTGCTCATACTTTTTGGTATTTGATTCTTGTGTTTCACCTTTTTTTTTAAATTGCATGTTCGATCCGGCCATCAAAGCCTCTCACTTCATCCAATACATTGTCCAACAGATTTTAGAAGCTTACAAGCTATGTGTGCTTTAAATTGAATCGTTTATTTTTGTAGCATTTTAATTCTAATTTTTCTCAATTTCCATTTTCATGTCAAAAAATACTCTTTCGGATTGGACTGCCAATTCTGGATTTATGCCAAAACAATTTGTTCAAATGAATGCAAGAAAAGTTTAAAAATAACTAGAATGTAACAAAAAAATGTGGTCTTTGAAGATTGGGTTTTTCATTAACTACTTATCGAGTGTTGAAAATAATGTATTATGTATTTGTTTATCAGGGCTTTGTAGAAATTCACACACCAAAAATCATCAGTGCAGCCAGTGAAGGGGGAGCCAATGTTTTCACTGTCTCTTACTTCAAAGGTTCAGCTTACCTAGCTCAAAGTCCCCAGTTATACAAGCAAATGGCTATCGCAGCTGACTTTGATAGAGTCTTTACTGTCGGCGCAGGTAAGTTGTGCTCTCTCAGTTTTTTCAAAGCTTTTTTTTTTTCTTTCTTTTTAACAGTGAAATTTTCAGAATCCAGCCGCACCCTTTCTCCCATACTTTTCTACCATTATGACTAACCCACTAAAAGGTGTTTATTCTCCTATTCTTCTAATTAGCTTATCTATTTCCTACCACACTGTCCAATATTAAGTTCCCTGCACACAGATTTTGCTTCGGAAAATGTTCAGAAAAGTATATTTTCAGAGAATGATATAACTATTTACCCAAGCAAAGAAGGATTCTTTTCTCATAAAATTATAACAATGAAGAATGGCCTCAATTATAAAAATTTTCTATCCAAAATATCCATTTTAACTGATGCTACAGTATACTTCAAATTTTGAGAATCTGACTTAATCATTTCCAAAGAGTTAATGTACAACTTTTTCAGTGTAAAGTACAATATTTTAGGGACAACTTTATTTCAAAATGGAATTGAGAAGAAAAAGTTAATGAAGAAACAGAATTTGTTCATAGTATGATTTTGCTGTCTCATTGGCCACTGTATAATTACAAACATTCATCCAAGGTTTAACAGCATCGGGCCCACAAGCCTGATGCAACAGTCATTGTGTCAAATAGCAGGCTGTACAGACTCAACTCAATTTCTGTGCTTTAATACATCATAGTGTTACATTCACGTTTCAATTCTAATCACAGAATGTTTTAAACAGTTTTCAGAGCAGAAGACAGCAATACCCACCGACATCTAACGGAATTTGTTGGTTTGGATTTAGAAATGGCTTTCAAATATCATTATCATGAGGTTTTGAAACTTATCGGTTCTTCATTCACAGAAATGTTCCGACAGCTTCAAAAGAAGTAATTGCATTCCTTCAGTATTTTATACCTAATTTTTCTGGCTCTTAATTTTCCTGTACTTTTAATCAAAAGAGGTTGTTCCATCTACCATTGAAACTGGGCCCCGAATGAAATCTCCTCATCTTTTCAGGTATCAAAGGGCATGGTCAGGGACACCCAAAAATGGTTGAATTTTTTCCAAATTCCCCCCTGGGGAGGGGGGGCGGGGGGTTATATGAAAAACGGTTTTTTGGCTATAACTTTTGAACGGTTTAAGATATCGATTTGAACTTTAAATGAAAGGTCGTTTAAAGAGCTTTCTTTTGGTATATTATGTTTAATAGTTAAGTCAAGTTTTGACCAATTTATGGCCTGTCAAAAATTTTCCATGAGTCCAAAAATCAGATTTCTGTAGTTTAGAGCAGCGACGATCGCATGCAGATGAACAAAAAACTGTTCAACTTATAGCCCTCTCTCTGACGGTTAAAATGAGCCCAAGATCATCTTGGGGAAACGATTTGTCTCCGAGTTATGCTTCTTCAAAGTTGGCGCGGCGGGGTCCGCTTCCGCGGGGCAGCGCTCCGGAGTACGATAGTTCACTCCCACCCCCCTCCCGTCATGCCACGCGACGCAAACCGAGGAAGACTACCTTTAATGATCATTTGAACAGATAAATGCACACAATATACGCTATTATGGTGTACAAGTATTATTAAAATTATATTAATATACTAAATAGAAGAGTGGAATCTCACCGAATTTATCATCACCGCAATCCATAGGATCATCGGCAGTGTGATCCGCATTTTCATCCTCATCTTCGTCGTCTGAAAAGCCAAAATCGACTTTTCTGAGAGGGAAGCACTCGTTCAAAAAGGCTGAAGGCGCTGGTTTTTTGTGATAGCGCCCGTAAAACAAATACGAGCACAAGGATTGATGGTACGCGCACCGTTCTTACATGTGCAGTAACTTGCTTTAATGGCCTCGCTGGATTTTTGACTGGTGTCGATTAATATAAATATATGATATTCTTTTTTTGATTTATGCCTCGATAGGATCCGCGATCGAAGAAAAAGAGGCGAATTTACGGAAATATCATATTTTTGAAAATCTGGCAAAAAGTTATCCTTCGTCACTTGAAAGCAATATTTTCCATCAGCAAAATGGTCTGCAATATGACTTGCTGCAAGTCCAATTTGATAACTTCCCGAGAGGGTGTCAAGATCTTCGCTCCTCCACTGTTCTAATTGTTCAAAATGATCTGTCGTCAGGTTTTCAAAAACTACTTTTTTTCGGAGCCATTTCTCGTCCTCAACAATTTGTTCCACAATATTCGGCTCATTTAATTTTTGGAGCATTTGAATGGCAATTTTTGCGTCGTCACCATCACTTTGCAGGCGTTGAAAATATAAATTATGTATCGCGGACACTATGCGATAGTCGTCAAACAAATTGCCGGATCCAGGTATATTGCTTCTCGTTTTATAGAGCGTTTTCAATATAATTTTAATAATACTTGTACACCATAATAGCGTATATTGTGTGCATTTATCTGTTCAAATGATCATTAAAGGTAGTCTTCCTCGGTTTGCGTCGCGTGGCATGACGGGAGGGGGGTGGGAGTGAACTATCGTACTCCGGAGCGCTGCCCCGCGGAAGCGGACCCCGCCGCGCCAACTTTGAAGAAGCATAACTCGGAGACAAATCGTTTCCCCAAGATGATCTTGGGCTCATTTTAACCGTCAGAGAGAGGGCTATAAGTTGAACAGTTTTTTGTTCATCTGCATGCGATCGTCGCTGCTCTAAACTACAGAAATCTGATTTTTGGACTCATGGAAAATTTTTGACAGGCCATAAATTGGTCAAAACTTGACCTAACTATTAAACATAATATACCAAAAGAAAGTTCTTTAAACGACCTTTCATTTAAAAAAAAGTTCAAATCGATATCTTAAACCGTTCAAAAGTTATAGCCAAAAAACCGTTTTTCATATAACCCCCCGCCCCCCCTCCCCAGGGGGGAATTTGGAAAAAATTCAACCATTTTTGGGTGTCCCTGACCATGCCCTTTGATACCTGAAAAGATGAGGAGATTTCATTCGGGGCCCAGTTTCAATGGTAGATGGAACAACCTCAGTAGTAACTTAAATTATACTTACCTGAATAAGGGCAGAGCTGTTTTTGCAGTTGTAGTTTTTTCCTTATATCAGCTGAAAGAGATCCAATGGAAACTTATGTGTTTTTTTTGCCTTTTTCTAGAGTATTAGCTGTATTAATGAGGTCTTTTCACCTCTCTTTTCCATTTCTATAAAAATGTCAAATTTTTAAAAACTCAGATTGTCTAGAAAGCTTAAGATATATCCAATAAGCCCCTGCAGGCAGCAATTTGATTTATGCTTTTACATCTGAATGTCTCTCTCACTTCAGATGTGCAGTCCAGATAGCAGCCGTAGCTGAGCAATATCCAGTGGAACCATTTCAGTTTCTAGACCCTCCTCTAATACTCGATTTCAAGACGGGTGTTGAAATGCTGAGAGAGGCCGGTGTCACCATGGGGGATGAAGATGACTTGAGCACACCAGATGAAAAATTGTTGGGAAGATTGGTGAAAGCAAAGGTATCTCAACATTCCATCACCATTTCTATTTTTAATGTGCCGAGCGTTAATATTGTTATGTGGTCAATTTTTGGCCACAAATATTTCCGCTCAATTGGATCAATTGAATACATTTAAGTAAAAGAAGTCAATCTATAAAATCAAATCAAGGACACAAGCAATCGTAAACTACTGATGAATGTAAGAATCAATTCTTTGATCTCAGGAAAACTTCAAGTAGAGAGAAACATTTTTTATGCCCAAAGGCTATTTTTTCACTATTACAAGATAATTTATCATGGAGGTGCAAAGTTTTGTCCTCCGTACCTTCCAGTATTTTAAGCAGTGATTTTCGCTTTCAAGTGTGTCAAAAAAAAGTATGAGACTCCTCTGTTAGATCTGATGAGTTCTTAAGGTCATGAGAATTTTGGAATACATAAATTTCTATGCAGAAGTAATGTATCCAATTGAATCAAGCAAAAACAATGCTCACCAATTTTTGATTTATCTATTTTCGTTTTTCACTCATGAGGTTCGTTTGAACAAAATTTAGCGTACACATATTTTTTTGAAGTAAGTGACTAACTTAGGCCTTTCTTTCATTTTTAGTATAGCACAGATTTCTACATTTTGGATAAATTCCCATTAGCTGTGAGGCCCTTCTACACGATGCCAGACCCACATGATCCGGTAAGCTTCCATGTTTCGATTAGAAACTTTTATCTGCAGCCCGACCACAGACTTTGACTTCCATCGATATTGATAGAACTCAGTTCCATTCCATTGGGGTATTACATTGGAATGGAACTGAGTTCTATCAATATCGATGGAAGTCAAAGTCTGTGGTCGGGCTGCAGGGGTATTTCTGCTACAATCACTCAGAAGCAGGATATAAAAACCATAAACACTGTAATTCCTGATGTCTTTATATGTAGTGGCTGTTTTTGCCAAGAAGTTGCTACAAGGAACCACCAAACCAAGTGCAAATTAAAGCAACATGATGCATTTTTTCCCATCAACATTTCATGTAAACACAATTTGTGCACCGAAAGTTTTTGAAAGTAACTCTCAACTAAAGTATTAACGTTTTTCAAACGTTTTTTTCATACATTCAAATTTCTTGCTTATAAAGAAACCATAATTTACTTGAGTTCAATTGCGCACTAAACATCTTCGTGTCAGTCTCTGGGGTATGAAAAAATAACCAACCTTAATCTCGGTGCTTTGGCTCAGCTGTTGCATATTTTTTACACATTGAACAACACTGGGCAGGAGAGGAACACAGCGCAGCCAGAAAACTTGCCAAAACTGTTGTATCATACGCTTTGATTAACGTAGACTATTGTTTTTTTTTTGTCACCAGCATTGAGTTAAAACATTGATATCTTAGTTAGGGCTGAATTTCAGTAATTTTCATCGCATTAATTGTGTTCCTCATGAAATTTTAAAGAAGAAACTTACATCAGAATGCTTAAATTCGTGCCTGAGAGAGGCCTAGCCGCTACGCAGCCCAGTACCTAAAAAGCACTGTGTGCGCCCAGGAGGTTGGTTTACAGCAACAAAAAATTTTGTTACATTTTGAAAATTTTAGTATAGAAATTCAGAAGGAAGAAGCTATCTCATCTAAAAATTATTGAAACCTTACAGCCTAAAAATCCGATAAGTTGAGCGAGTAAACCTTTGAGTATAACTATGAAACTATGACAGTAAGTGAATTTTGGGAAAGTCGAAGAGGCTATAATAATTTTGATGCACTTCTGCAATTATACATATTTGAGTCTCTTCATTGTTAATCAATTGAATCATTGAAAGATGTTTGTTTTTTGTTGTCCTTTTCTGGATTCAAACCAGTTGTGATTTATTTATTTCTCCACAGAAACTTTCGAATTCTTACGACTTCTTCATGAGAGGAGAGGAAATCATGTCTGGAGCGCAGAGGATTCATGACCCTGAGTTTCTAACTGAAAGAGCCAAACATCATGGTGTTGGTAAGTTTCCAGTGGTTTCCTCTCTTTCTTCAGTATAATTGACTATATTTGGATCGCATTTCACTGAAGGGAACCAACAAGGTTTTAGTAATAATCGGAAAGCAACGAAAACTAAACAAAACGAAACATACGGGAGATCGAGGTTACAAACTGTGAGCTGAATAATTTTATAAAGAAAGCCAAAACTTAAAGACTCAAACTCACAAAAATAAATTAAAAGTGACTTTATCTTAATGTTAAATTTTTCAGCACTTAGGTCTGTGGACTGTAACATTTGAATGTTATGTCACAACATGAAACCTTTTTACTCAAATAATTTTTAGTGTCTGCGAGAAAAGACTCCAAAAATCTGGAATTTTGGTGTAACTTGACAGCGGTTCAAAGTTCCAAGTTCTTGTTGCTATAAGTTTTAATTATGAGCTTATATAGTCGCAAGGCCAAATTTCAATATTGTAGCATTTCTTCTTCTTTTTTTTCTATTTTGATAAGGCTGTGTTTAAGTCACAGTGGGTGATGGCCTGTCTTTTAGAAGATGGATCATTTTCAGAAGCAAAATTTGGCGCTTAAGTTTTTTTCCCTTCTCTTACTCGGTAAGAACGCAGCTGTTGCTGTCAACCTTTAAACTGTTGCTTATGAAGGACAAAAACTCAAGCATATAACTGGTTCTCTTGCTCTAGAAGTAATGATTTATCGCTCAAATTGTAGAACTTACTTTAACAGGCCGTCAATGGCAAAACCTGACTAAAAACTGGAAAAATTTGCCTTCTTGTGAATGAAGATTGTTAAGAAATACTCAATAAACTTGCAGAGCTATCTGAACGATAGCTTTAACAATTTTCAAAAGCATTGCTACGGAAAATTTGGCTGCTAAATTGGTCGCTTGCTTGCTAACCATTTTCTGTTTTAGCCCGTGAAGACTGCTTGGAGTCTGGCTAATGTTTGAGTAATAAATTACACTTTTAAAATGAGAAAATCTTTTGTGTAATTGAGTTTTGGATGAAACATGTTCTGAACAAGAAGTAATTAAAGGGTTGACAGCTGGGGATGTTGCTGATTTAGGGAAAAACTGTCCAATTCTAGAGCAGAACTTAGTGAATCTTACTTGTTACCACAGTCAAAAGTCAAAATACTTTCTTATTTCTTTAATTACTTTCCTCTCATTACTCATCATTCCCTTTTCTTCGCAGACATTGAAAAAATCAAAGCTTACATTGAAGCCTTCAAGTACGGCTGTCCACCGCATGCCGGCGGCGGTATTGGATTGGAACGTGTGGTCATGCTCTACCTAGGACTTGATAACATTCGCAAGACATCAATGTTCCCAAGAGACCCAAAAAGGATAACACCATAAGGTGACAAAATTTGTTTCTTGATGAAATTTCTTTGGTCGGAAAAAACTGATCCACTAAACTTTACCATCAATGAATTAGTTGTAAGGACCACAGAATTTTTGTGATGACTTTGTAAGTTGAAAAAGTTATTTTTCAAATTAAATAATTTTATTTTAATTTTAGATTCAGCGTTTTTTTTCAGTCTATTTTGAAGCGGTGAGGTCTGTCAATTTTCAAGTTCTTGAACAAAGAAGTCAATATTGAATATAATTTATTTCGACCACATTCAGCTGCATACATAAATTTTTAATAAACAACAAATATTTTCTCTTAAATTTAAAACAACTGGACAGAGGAGAGTAACTACGGAAAACGCGCAGAACAGAGATCCCGAGAACGGATCTGCGCAGAAAACAGATTTTAAATGATTATTATAATTAAAATCGTGGCTTGTAAGTTGAGAGAGCTCTGCGCTCTTTTTTTACAGGACTATGAGTCCATGAACATGATAGAGATGTGTAAAATGTTCTAGTAGGAATAACTCTTCACTCACGAATTTTAAAGGAACAAAAATATGGAATATCAACAGCCATCCGTCATCCCTCTGTTCAGGGAATATTCTTACCAAGACAAGACCTTTTAACACCTAAAAGAAGTATCAACCATAACGTTTATTTCAGGTTTTGCTCTTGACTTCTCCTCCCTGTGAAGCATAGCCAATTTATTGCTATTTTCTGCAAAAGTTAAAGGTAGTAAAATTGTCCCTCCTAATGGTATAAAATAAATAGAAGAAATTAAAAAAGCATCTCCAGAACTCCCACTCATGAGAGAATCTTATTCAAAGAGAAGGCAACTCCTATCATTACTCGCGTAGATGATGTTTCAACATTAAAGAAACAATGCATGCTTTAAAAGAATTAAAATTAGAAGAAGTGAAAGATCAATAAAAGAAAATAGAGGTAAGAAAGCAACAGCATATGCTTGGCACTTAATGAGCTAAAAATCTGGATTTTTTTAAATATTTTCGTGAATCAGGTAACAGTTGGAAACATTAATGGCTGGACTCATCCAAGCATTTCAAGCCTCCGTCAAGTCAATAATATTTACTTATTTTTCCAATCAATTATTTTTTATGGCTTTTTTAGCAAATTTTGTCGTCTCTCACACTAAAGAACGTATCTTGTCTGCAGTGTTTCAGTATTTGTAGGAAAATTTTGTTTTTGATGGGAAAACAGTCGCATGAATTAGTCTGAAAATTTCACAGTCTATTTTCTCAAGGGTGAAGAAAAATTATCAAGATGGTTTTCCCAGAAAAAAATAAAATTGAAGAATAAATACTGAAACAGCGCAGTTGGCATACATTTCTTCATGCAGGAGATAACGAGTTAGCTTAAGACATTCAGCACTGGATAACATTCTTACAGCATTATATGTCTCCTTTTTATTTTATTCTTGTGTGCTCGGTAAAAACGGTCAGCGTTTGACTGTCGTCAAACTGTCGTAAAACATTCCGATCTCCATGTTGCTTTTTAGTTTTACTACTAATTTTCTTCCCTTATTTTTAAGTAATTTATTGATACAAGTAGGTATGTAGGTTTTAATCGGAATGTTAACACTCCATCAATGAGGGGAACATGATAGAGAATTTTCAGTTCATTTAGTTAATTTAGACCAAACAGGTCTGACTTATAGCTTTTTACTCTCTACTACAAATTTTATCAGATTTGAAGTCTTTGAATTAATTAGAGCAGCAACTTAAATTCTTCTGTTGCCTTTTTTTGTTTTGTTTTAGTTTTTTACTGTTCCCATTTTATGATCCGCTGTGGATCTTTTTAGGAGCCGTCAGAACCTGCCCTAGAAACACTGTGATGACTTGTGAGTGACAAAACTGTATTCCATAACAGGCCAATTGATCCGTTGAACAGTACAATCCTGGATACAGGTTTTCCTCCAAACTGTTGATAAAATTATCCTGGCGGGAGGGGAGGGGTTCATTTGTTATTCTGGGCAAATTTGTGCATAAATTGTATTCGTATTTTCTCTAAAAGAGTAAGTAAATGATCTATGCAATAGTAAAGAAAAATATCCAAAGAATCCATACTTGAGACTAATGGCATCAAAATTTTCGATAGTAAACCTGGTTTGATAAAGTTTTTCTGCTCCATTTTTATTGTCTCAGCTTTGATACACTCAAGTCAATCCAGAAAGCTTTACAGCATCCCTTAGTCTATCAACCATCAAACCTTGGTGCCTATTGCTTGCTTATGAAATGAACCCAAGTATTTCTTCACAATAGTTTTTCTTTTTTTCATCTATGCCAAATTTTTAACTTTAAATATTAGTAAGAAAAGAAAGTTTCAACATCAGGTGTGAAGGGAGGAAAATTATTTACTGAATAGAAAATTACATCAAATGATGTCTACAGAAGTTTTTAGTGTTGCCTCTCTTGTTGGATGTCATCTTTGATGGGGTAGTGGCGGAGGGTTCTGTATTTATATCTCGTTTGGAAGAATATTGCTGGCGCGCCTTCTCCTGCCTGGGCCTCCAGCATAGTTGGCTGCTGCTAGTCCCATCAGATGCTTGGCTGCTTGAGAACCTGAGAAGCCACGGCTGAGACCCAAATCCAGACCTCGCTTGGAGCTGAAACAGGGCACACATTTTAGACTCGTATTTCTGACTTTTGAAGGGTCATAGGTATCACAAAAAAATAGTGTATTTCCTTCAGAGAATACATTAAAATGCGCTTTTTAAATGTTACTTCAACGGTAACGTCAGTATAACAACATACCTATTAAAAGTCTTCAAAATTTCTGGTCCCAAATCACATTTGAAGAGTATCCTTTTTTTTTTTTTTACTCTTCCATACAAATTTTCTAGCTAGTATTCCTGGGAGGTAATGAAAAATCAGACCCAATTCTGTTGCACAGTGATCATCAGTGATCATTCAAAAAAGTTGTAAAGTTGACGTGTGACACGAACTATGCCACATCATAAATAGAGATACCATCCGAGTTCAAAGTTTCACTTTTGCCGTGCTGTTTTGATGTTATAACTATCACCAAAAAAGCCTAAAAAGCTTTTTTTTTAGATTGCTCATCATTTAAAAGTATGACCCTATTGTTAATGCGCGATGACGTTTTCTGCAAAGTCAGAGTAATTGAGTAGTGCATATGAAGGTTTTAGCAGAGAAGAGACGGTGTTACAATTGCGGTATTCTATGAAATTGAAGGCGCTTCCAACGAGCGTCTTTAAGAACATAAACAGCTGTGCATCGATTTTGGTACACTACAGGAATGAAAGAACTCTTAAAAAGAGTCTGAATGTTTCTAAAGCGAGGTTTTCTCTCAAATGACAAGCTTTACTACTAGGATAGAGGTGTTCTACAAACTTGATGGCGCCAATAAGGATGGTCTTCCAAATGAACCGAATTCAGTCTTAGACTTCAAATTCAGCAACATGTCAACAAAAATTTCGCGAACAATTTTTTACGGTGATAGGTACAGCTTCGGTATCATTTGAAATTGAAGGCACTTCTAACACGTGTTTTTTCATACGTTTTTTCTGAAAAATAACGGCGGAATTTTCGGAAGATTGAAATCGAGATTAGTAGGTATGCTTCTCTTGTATATGATCGAAGCATAGGGCGTAATCATATTCATGGTTGCTCCTTAGGAAACCGCGTATTGTTTACATTATGATTAAATGAGGTTGAAGGAGAGCCCTAGCATAGCATCACACAAAAGAGAATTTTCTATTAAGTGTCAAATAGAATTCAACAATATTACTTCGGGAATAGACCTTTCGCGAAGTATCACAACTATTTGCCTCCATGAGAATTAAAAAGTTCAGAAGAAACATTTTGCTGGTTTTGAAAGGTCCACAGTAGATTTGTATCTACCTAAGTAGAGATTGTGAGTATTTTAAAAAAAATTCCACCGTATTTTTTATTTTTTCGCAAAGGTCAATCGTTGTAATCCCTTACGAGGAACTATTTCCAAAATTCGATTGTTGAATTTCACTCGAGATCGGTTAAAATTGTCCTTTTGATAATGCCATGTTAAGGATCTCCTTAAATCTCCCTCCATCACAACGTAAATCATACGGACCGCGTTATGCAGAAAAGAACCAAGCTACAGCAGCTATAACCAAAGTAAGTGGACAATTTACTTTTTTACATGAAAATGGTTGTGCGGATTCTTGCGCAAATTCCAGTGAATTTTCTGCACAGTACGATGTAAATTCCTCAAAATTGTCAAAGGAATCCCCTGAGACGTTCTCTCGTAAAAAATTAAATTGCTCAGTTAAATTTTACAATAGCTGATGTGGCTTGATTCCTTTCTGCTGAACGCGGTCTATGTGAGGTCTTCTCATTGAAAGGAGCTGTTTAAGGATAGACTATTTATAATACGATGTATAAAGGTTTTACTTCATTTTCTCCTAATTTTACTTACAAAAATTTTAGTTTTAAAAATGCGAACAAAATCGCGAAAACCCGGAAAGGAGAGGGGCATGTTGGCCGGAAGTGACGAAAGTTTCGGAAAACCTTGGCGCCATTTAACTTCCCGATTTTAAACTCTCCCCCTCTCTGACAAATTGAAGTTTACACCTTCTCTTAGAATAGTTCTCTGTCCCTGAGGAGGGTAGAACGAAACTCTTCGCGTCTTGACCTTCCTTCGGAGTACGTTATGGTTGAATCCTTTTCGTAACTCACCCCTTTCCCTCTCGAATTTCGATGCAGCTGCTTTATCGCACCAACCACGTCATCACTCCGCACAACGTCAGATCCCAACGTTAATTACGTTCTTTTCAAACCCCTCTCCCTTCTAAGCCCTCCCATCCGAGCTCCTAATGGATTTCACTCTGTTTTACGGGATTTAAAGTGACTTAATAATAAACAAGTTCCCTGATCTTGCCAGTTGACCATTTTACTGTGCCTTTTGCTTGTGAGATATCCTCCTTCGACCCGCCGTTGAACCCTTGGCGGCAAAGTAGGTTTATATCGTCACCTTCCGGTCAAAGTATTACAAGCGCCATAATACGTTTAAAATTTCCGCCGCTGTTTTATTTTTTACAGTGAGAATGTTCAATGAAGCTGTCCGAAAATTTCACTGAATTTTCTCTGTGCTGCCGATAAAATCCAGTGAAAATTTCAAACAGATTCGACCAATAATATCTGTCAAAAAGTCAAATGGCGGCGAAAATTTTTTAAACGTTGCATAGCGCTCGTGATACTTTGGCCCGAAAGTGACGATACATGATGAAATGTGTGCATTGCTTAACAAGTCATGGGAGCCATATCGGGGGTTATAGGACACTTCGTAAAAAAATGTTTGTCCACGCACCTGTTTTTCCCCGTGGTTTATACGTCCACGTGTTTTTTCGGCTCGGGAGTTTTGGTCCACTTACCAATTGAGGCCCAATACAAAGGCAATCAAATCCAAACGACGATCGCTCACGACGTTTTTGGATGAAAATTAATAATGTCTTGGAATAATGAGAGTTTGCTTGAAAAACTTACTAAGTCCTAGTATGTATATTTAATAACGGTTAGCATGATTTTTTACTTCATTAGAAGAAAAAGTGATTTGATTCAAATAGAAATCAGCTCAAATTTACCGCCAAGAAAATTTCCTTTTGAATCAATAAAGAAAATAATGATTGTTTAAGGAAGAAAAGTCACTTACATCAAGCAGAAACCCGCTTTCATTCAGCTATTTTATTCTTCATTCAAAATAAAAATCTTCTGAACGGCACACTCAAGAATGTTTCTGCCTAAATCGAGTCACTTTTTTCTCTGATGAAGTTCAAAAATTTTGGTAAAAGTTTTAAATACGGATGCTAGGACTTAGTGAGTTTTTTTCTACCGCTCTCTTTTTGTGTCGTATTATTTTGATTAATTTAGCAAGGAAAACTCTGAACATTTAAAGGATGCGTGTCATTCTTAATATGGTGGAGCGCCTTCAATTTCGTACGATACTGTGCAACACCTCTGTTGTGAAAGAGTTGCTTGAGGCGCCGTGGCACACTGCGGCGCGGCACTGCGGCAGGCGGCCGGCCAGCGCAAAACGCGCATTGGCGCCTACAAACCTAAGTGGATACTTCAAGCATTACGCAATGCGTGAAGTATCCTCTTAGGTTTGTAGGCGCCACTGCGGCTTCCGCGCTGACAGTATGTCGCTTCCTTCTGTGTGAGGCTCTAATATTTAATCTCGTGGAGTCAGCATTTTTCAACTCATGATTTTGAAATTTTCGCACACTCTGCATGGATTATTCTCATTTAAATTGATGAAGATAAAGCCATGAAATGACTATTCCTATGTATGAAAGGACAAGCCAATATAAGGTGTGTTTTGTAAATATTAAGGTGTTTTCGAGTCAATGAATTCCAAAGCACTTTAATTTTTGCGATTTATCGATTGATCTGCCATTTAAACTTATGAAAAAGGATCAATAAGCAGGGTGTTCGCAACGAACACCTTAATAATTCATTATGTACCATAGTTTCAAATGAGAAAATCTCCATAATAGATCATTCACGCCTCGCCACTGTCAGGAGGTGCTCAAACGATGTTTGAAGTTTAGGCTAAAATTTGCCTTTTTTGAAAGTGGTTAAAAACTAGTTACAAATCTGTCGAACATTGCCTTCAAAGTGATTAATATGCAACATTAAACCTCAGCAATCAGCATTATCGAGCCAGAATAGTTCTCGCTAAAAATCGGACGTCAATAATTATTTTAAAAAGAACTATTCTGTACGGAATACCTATGCACATAGTGCTCTTTAGCATAAATGAAGAGCTTGGTGAAGAAAGGGCATTTCTCGGTTGTGGTATCTCAGGATCTTAACGTTTGCCACTATAATTAAAGCAAATGCATGGAAACTTTTACGGAATTTGCTATGTTATTTTAAAATTCTGAAACTAAAAATTTCAGAAAATTTGCCCAATAGTTTCCTCTCTGGAATATAAATTAGCAATGGACTTTGTGAAACACTGCACCTAGAAATACTTATTCCGCACCCAACGCACGGTGGAACGAACTGGTAGAAGAGGTTGGGTCTGAGATTTTTGGCTAAAATTTCAAATTTTTATGTTCATTTCGTCACAAATTCAGTTTAAAAGGGGATTCTCGTAAGGAAATTTCCTGAAAACATCAATGGAACCACTCCTAAACTTCTTTGTCACATACTTTTGAAAATATAAGCTTTCAAAGTTGCCAGATTTTTTCCGACTCCTCCTATTGACTCGGTCCAGTGTACAATGCCTCCACGCCACCGGGGAGGCGTGAATGATCGATTATCGATACTTCCCCCATTTAAAACTATGGTAAAGAATCGATTATTAATCGATAAACAGGGTGTTTGTTGCGAACACCCTGTTTATCGACCCTTTTCCATAAGTTTAAATGGTAGATCAATCGACACATCGCAAAGCACGCCACGCCACTGAACGCCTCAAATACGTCCAGTTGGCCCGAGATGTAGAGCCGTTTTTTTCGTTCTCGTGTTTTCTTTTCCATAACTTCGATAGTACATATATACACATTATGGGAACTTACTTTTCTAAGTCGTTGGCTCTGATGATACTTTGACCTAATCGCGCCAACATTTCTAGCATCATTTCTGTATCGGGCTCCTCCATTTCAGACATATAGCTCTTCCTTCTGGGACGAAAACAAAAATGAACAATTTCATTAAGTTTAATAAATGTATTATAATACATCGCAAAGCAGTTAGCGATCGTCGGCAATTCGTCAGCGTCTTGCGTCCATGCGTGTTGTCTGTTGTCCCATAATCTTAATGATGCAAGTCGGTTTGATTGCATAGCGTTTTCATCTCAGATTATGAAATATATACTTTACAAAATTTAATATTCCGGTGTTGCTTGGTTTTCTATCCTTTTTTTTTTAAAGAAAAAAACAAAACAAATACGTCAAAACACATTAGGTATCATCTAATGTATTTACACCAATTCAAATTAAATTCTTCAAATGTTTCTTAAAGTTATGAATTGTTTTCTTCCAAAAGGATACAACATGATCGGAGATTCTAAAGAATTGAAATCATTCTATTAAAAAGGTTTCGTCGATCCTCGGTTATCCACGGGAAAACTAACCCACCGAATTTCATTGGACAAAACGCAAGCTAATGATGGATGCATGTGACGATGACGTGAGTCGCGAGTCCAAAATACCCCATCACTCAAATTCCGTGGAACATCGAGAGAGGCCTTTGGAGAGCGCATCACAGTAAGCGATACCATTTTGAAGAAATTCACCAACACGACAACAGCAGGATGAAAAATTGCCGTTCATAGTTGGGCCCCCGCCTTTTCGTCGAAGCCCGTAAACTAATCCGTGGGCTCACCGCTAGTTCCGGGTAGTTTTCTCCGCCGGAGTCGTTTCGTAAATAGACGAGCGATTAGTTTTTCGACAGTTTCTGACACGTTATCAAACGAGCTTTCGGCGCCGCGGCTGACAGCCCCCGGAGATTCGGTGCTTTCATGACGCCGAAATGAATAGGCGCAATTCCTGTAGGCGGAGCCGGATTAATCCTCCCGTTCGACGCAGAAAGGAAACGCTGATAAACGTCAACCCTTTACTCGGCGACACGTCAAAGTCGTCCCTTCCCAATTTTCAAAACGCAGCTTTGAGCAGCCTAATTAAATCGGGGCCTCTCGATTGTTCGCCATTTCTTCGGCCGTAAGTTGTATTAAGGGAGAGGGAGGTGGGGAGCTTGGTGTCACGAATGCCTACCCTCATACTGTGAGTAGCATTTCTAGGATCTAAAAAGTCTTAAAATAGCTTTGAACTCAGCGTTAATAATTAGAGCCCTTCGAGTGTTCAACTTCTTCGGTCAAAGTTGTATGAGGGGCAGGTGAGATGAGGGCGATGCACAAACGCTTTAACTCAGTTTGTGAGGGGAATTTCTATGTTCCACAGACTCTTTACATGGATCGCATACACTGAAAAAAAAAAGATTGGTAGAATTCACCATTCCTTCACGCTGTATTTCACACAGCGTACATTCAGAGTCAATTCTGCCAGAAAAAAGGTAAACGTTACTATATACTGGCACAGGTAACCATCCCTCTGGCAGAATCGACTTAGAATTCACGCTGTGTAAAATACAGCGTGAATGAATGGTAAATTCTACCAATCTTTCTTTTCAGTGTACAGCATGTCCCATAAGTTCCCCCACTCACTCTAATCTTTTAAACGGTTGCTGGCATGAAGGTAACCGGTAGATGCTATTTCTATCCTAAAGCGAGCCAGCTTTTAGGAGGATAAGCATTTTTGGGCCCCCTCTTCAAGGCCCAGAAGCCACTGAGGTTTCTCTTAAAGTTAGAATTAAAAATCCCTCTATTGCACTCTGTACATATAGAGCTGGATCTCTCCTTGAAACGGAAAATTGCTTATGGACGCAGCAGTGTAGTCTCTAGCTCGACCTCGCTTTGAGATGATACGAAGGAAGAAATCAAAATCTTAAAGGTTGCGTCTACTCATGGGCCCCTTTATCAACCCCTCTACACCAACCCCCATCTCCTGACGTAGGAACTTAGGATTACTTCTGTTTCCCTCCGGTTGGAAATAATTAGAAACTGTTGGCGAGCGTAAAACCTGGCCGTTTATTTCTCACACGCTTTTTTCCTGAGTCGTTGAATGTGATTACACGGCCAAGACGGGAGGGGGCGCATAGGGTAAGGATAAGAGGGGTCGGAGGTGGGAAACGTGATGTCATTTTCAGCAATGTGGATGCAGATGAAATACGAAACAAGGTTTTCACACAACCCACCCTGTTGTCATGTCTGGGTGAGATTTTTTGGTTTCGAGTTTGGTGTGTGGAATAATCTTTATCTCACTTTCAAATCTGCCGTCCGATTACTTCGAGATTATTGGAACTAGTATTTACGCCGAAACCTCTAGGTTGTGCATTTTCATTTGGACGGAGTTAAACAGAAAGGAACCAAGCCACATCGGGATCGAACCGAGAAAAAGAGGCTTAAAGTTTAGTTCCTGCTTAAGACTCAATGTAAAAGTTAAACTTCAAGTTCAATTTCTGCAAAATTTGCTCCAACAAAAACTTTGAATTTTTGGCGATAGATAGTAGAGCAGTGGTTGAGTTCAAAACCACTCATAACTCGATTTTTTCCAAGATGTGGGTTGGTTCCTTTCTGCTTAACTCAGTCCATTTGACGTATCTAAACGGAGCTAAGCGCCAATTTCAGTTCCTTTTGAGGATTTATCCCCGATAGCGCGTTCTGTCAAACGGAACTAAGCGCCGTGGAAAATCATTGTGAGCACAAGACGGGATGATCTCGTCCAGTGACAAGGCGAGAATGATCGATTATCGATATTTCCCCATATGAGCTATGGTAAAGAATCGATTATTACGCGGTGTTCGTTGGGAACACCCTAATACTCGATCCTTTTCCATACGTTTAAATGGTAGATCAATCGATATATCGCAAAGCGCACGCCACGCCACTGACCTCGTCGTTGTACTGCACCCGTCAATCCAACCCCAATTCCGCTTAGTTCCGTTTAGCAGAAGTACGACCAATTGAGCTCCATGCTTCCGATCGGATAACTGCAAATCGAAAAATTTCAAGTTGTTGATGGATTATTTCGAAAGCACCTCGCAAGCCCCTTGAAAAGTTTCAGGTCACCGGTAATCCTCGATTTTCGACAATCTTGGCATAAATCGTCTGTAGAAAACAAACACTTAGAGCAGAATTCGACGTTTAAATCTAGGTCAAATGTCAATGATTGATGTTTCACTTATATTTGTTCACTTTTCATATCCATTTTTAAATGCTCCATGTGATAGGAAATGAAACACGAATTGACCTACACTGGAAAAAAACACAATGGATCTAGAGTCCAGACTCTTAAAAACATCGACAAGAAAAAGTACACTTGATTCAATCAGAATCTAGCTTAAATCAAGAACCAAGCCTCTTAATTTAAGCGGATTTCGTTTTGATTCAAGCAAAAATCCGATTGAATCAAGAGTATTTTTTCATGTCAATGTTCTCAAGAGCCTGGACTCTAGATCCAATATGTTTTTTTTCCAGTGTAAGCCTCGCGTTGAATCTTGGATTTCCGGGTTTTTCCATTGGTTTCTTTGCTGAGTTCGACGAAAACCGCACCAAAATCAGTACGAACGTTGGGTCATATTTTGTGTTTCTTTTCCCATAACTATCGAAAATAACACGAAAACACAGATAATTCTCTCAAAGCGGCCAGAACCTGCATCGAAGCCTCGACCCTTGAAATAAAATTACCTTCAATTCGGCAACAAATTTTACAGTCGCAACGTGAAAAAACCGCGAAATGTCTCATGGGATTACGCACGGCTGTCAATTCGAATGAGAATTTTACATTCGATCGTAGAGAAGAACGTTGATTTACACCTAAAGCCGGCAAAAAGAGGGTCATAGCCGCCAGACTGCACTGAAAATCAGGAGTTTTCCCGTTCATTCCAACGCAACGTTCGCGGGTTTTACTAGAAAATCTGGCAACCTCGGAGAGGACTGAGTCGAGGCTCGGGGCGCAGACCTTGATTTTCTCATTTGAGCGGCGCGAGCAAGAATTTCCTGATTACCCCCCTCCCTCCATGTGAAAGCGTACCTGGATATCCGAGTGAACCCTGGGAAATGTGGAATTATACCAAAGATAGGGCTCATAAAAAAAAGCAGCTACGCCCTGACGTCAGGGTTGCGACGTTATGGGGCGCGGGCGTTAACTGCACTGGCAAGTGTTGCTGGTTGCGGCCACCTTGGCGCGGCCCAACCGCACCCCAAATGAACATCCCCCCCCCCCCCCCCCNGCTCGTAAAGCGGTTTATGGGCCGCCGACAAATTGCGCCCCACTTTTGGATTCCGGCCAGAAATCAAAGGCCGTCACAGGTCCGCCGCCGCGAGCTGACCTACGCGTGGACGAGTGAACTCGAAAAATTTGGATCTTCATTACGACACTTCAGAATTTTCACCGTTAATTAATTAATTTATCAATTTTATAGCCCTGGATAGACGATCAAATTCCGAACCCATTCCAATCAAAGTAGACATGCTGATGACTAATGGTCAGTTGACCCATCTACCATCATATTTTGACGGGCCGCCCTATTTTGTTCAAAGTAAGGTCAGCATGGAGTGCCACCATTCATCGTTTCCTACCTCAGGAAACATTTCGGCTAAGTTTCCATTTTAAAATTAAACAAATCAATGAGTTTAAGACTGATGACTCCCGACACTTTGATGGTAATTGGTTCGGGAATTTGATCGTCTATCGAGACCTTATATAATTTTTTTTCTCTCTTGCTCGTAAAACAAATAATGAACTGCGTGAACATAGACCTCGCTGAGCATCGAGTGGTGACTTAAGCTCAATTTCAGTTCGCCTTCAGTTTCCAGAATAGGCAACACGAGTTCCCACGTGACTCATCCACATCAAATCATATCTTTGCCGTTGTATGTGTCGTAGGCAAAAAGTCAAACCAAGCATTTTGTCGAATGCCTAGGGAGATAGTCAAATACTCTTACTAAGATTCCTATTTTAATATTTTACCCTAATTTCAGACAAAATAATTCGTTGCACCTCTCAGAATGGATTCTCTGTAAAAATATGCGGTGTACAATAGTATTTTAGACGATTTTAAGACTTGAATGCACATTTATCATGAAATTATAAAAACATATCATATCAATAAAACATAGAATTTTTAACACTTTAACATCTAAATGTACTATAGGCATGTAAAAAGGAAGGAACAAGGAGAGTTTACAGATTTGAAGAGTTACTCTTCCCAAAATATTGAAAACCCGTGAACTCGTTGCCGTAAATTTACAGAATTCCGTAAACTGTCAAAATGTGACTACCGGTCTGGGCATGTGATAAAATGCCCTATTTGACTAATTGCTTCCGACATATACTTTCTTCACGCAGATCGAGAAGCTTATAGCGAATTTTAGACTTTTCCGATGTATCTATATTGATTTCTAAGCCATTTTTAACAATATAAGTTTTTATTGCTTGAGCAAAAGTTTACAATAGGCTCTTTATGTTCTTTTTAAATGTTTTGCGAGGATTTGCCACTGAAAGTTTTCATAACTATAAGCTCTCTGAGCTCCTAAATTTTCATGTTTCTTCATAGTTCATTCTACTATTCAAGTAAACCGATCTCCATATTTTTTGTGGCAACTGATAGGAGATAGTCCCTCATTAAGCCGGCTTTATCTAGATTAACTCACGGGGGCCCACAAAGCGAACTTTAGAGGGCGATATGCGCCTCCCGGAGTTTGCTGCGTGGCGGTCAAGGGGCGAACCCCCTCGTAATCCGTTATTTTTCATGCTTATCCGATCTAAAATCAAAACATATGTGGTAATTAGGCATTGTGAAGTGGATTAACTGGACGCATTTCTGTTAAACGGAACTAAGCGCCAAATTGAGTTCCTTTTGAGGATTTTAGAATCTCAGATAGCGCTTCCTGTCAAACGGAACTAAGCGCCAAGGAAAAGCATTGCGAGTATAGGACGGAACGATCATCGCGTTCCGCAACACCTTCCAACCCAAGTCCCCCTCTCCCTTCCTCCCCCTATGACGCTGAGTTCCGTTTGATAGAAATACGTCCACTTAGGTTCATTCCGGCAATCGCAGTCCAAATGAAAAGTCGAATGCAAAGGAGGATGAAATATCACGGGGAAAGTTAAAAGTAAAGTTGACTCACCCTGCTGAGAAAGGGACACTTTCGGAGGCTTGGGTGGCTGTGAGGAGGATTAGAATTCCTAGGAGGAGCCCGCTTGTGACTGCCATCAGGGAGGACGGGGAGACGACCTGCAACAATTCAAAACACGACAGAAATGAACGACACCTGTCAGGCTGCCTTCACGCTAATAAATTTGATTTGACGCAGCTTCCGTATCTCCAGTCACGCCGATGATACGACTAATTTCTTCTTCAACTTTCGGGTCCTTGCTCAGCGTCGCCCGTTAATGGACCGTTTCGCTAATTGAAGAGTGAAAATTCAAAACCGGGTGATCGTCACCACCGGGCCGATTATTGTAAATTGTTAGGCAAAGCTGTAGACAAAGAAGACAAAAAAAAGTATGGAGGAATCCTATCGGTGGAAGATGGTGGATCCAATGGACAAAGGAGGTAGGTAATAGACTAACAAACGGTGACTCTCAAGTACCCCTATACGCAGTGGACTTGAAGCAGAAAAAATCGCGACAAATATGTACCCAAGAACGGTTTGCAGAATGTGAATCTATGGCACGTGTTGACTTAAAATCGAGAAATATCAAAATCTTGGCTGAGCCTATTTTCGAAATATCGGAATTTAATTGAACTTTTCGTAGTAAATGCTAGTTTCCCTACTGATTTTGATCCTACTGTTTTTTATTTATCTGTCCATTAAATCGATGTCGATTGGTTCACGTCGATCGATTCACGTTTTTATTTTCGTTCGATTTATGTCGATCAAAGACCCACCCTCTCGTTGCATGCCTATCAGACTGCATATCATTCTCTTTTTTTAACTGAACAATTCGCCTTCAGTTGCGTTTGCAGCAATTGTTGTTACGAATATGTTGCGCGTGCTGATTTCAGCGCATTACATACTCGACTCTTTGAAGGCGTTTTATGTGCGAAAGCAATTTGCCTTCAGTTGCGTCTGCAGCAATTGTTGTTACGAATATGTTGTGTGTACTGATCTCGGTTCATTACATACTTTACTCTCTGAAGGCGTTTTATGTGCGAAAGTGGAGCACTCTGTTGGAGAACAAATGAAGTAGGGGTTGAGCGATTCATTCAATCTCACTTCTGTTCTTCTCCAGCAGGGTGCTCCACTTTCGCACATAAAACGCCTTCAGAGAGTAAAGTATGTAATGAACTGAGATCAGTACGCACAACATATTTGTAACAACAATTGCCGCAGACGCAATTGAAGGCGAATTGCTTTCGCATATAAAACGCCTTCAGAGAGTCGAGTATGTAATGCGCTGAAATCAGCACGCGCAACATATTCGTAACAACAATTGCTGCAGGCGCAACTGAAGGCGAAATGTTCAGTTAAAAAAAAAAGAGAATGATAGAAAGTCTGCATGCAATGAGAGGGTATGCATTCGATCGACATGAATCGAAGGATAAATAAAAACGTGAATCGGTCGACGTGAACCAACTGACGTCGATTCAATGAGCAAGGAAATAAAAAATCGGATCAAAATCAGCTGAAAACTTGCGTTTACTATAAACCTTTCAAATTCCAATATTTCGAAAGTAGGATCAGCCAAGATTTTGATTTTTCTCGATTTAAAGTCTGCACGTAGCATAGATTACACCCAGCAGACCGTTTTTTGGGTACATTTTTGTCACATATATATATATATTTTTTTTTTGTCTCAAGACCACTGTGTACAGTTAGTCCATCATTTTCTCTCTTAGTCCATAGAAACCACCATTTTAACCAATTTTAATCAAAAGGATTGCAGCATACTCCCTAAGTCTCCTTTGTCTATAGCTTTGTCTATCAATTTCAATAATCAGTTTGCAGGTGTTGTTCAGCTTTTGCAACTGTGTCTCGCATTTGACGAAAATTCACAGGGCTCAGAATAGCAATTCTGGTCCTAAAATTAAAACGAAAATTTGAAGAAAGTTTAGCAGTACCTCATAAATCTATGAACCAAAGGCATTCAATTTCTTTTACCATAATCAACATCACGCGTAATCTTAACAACGTACAATAGGGTTTACCAGCTATTGAACTTCAACTCTTCTATTATTATCATCATTGTCGCATTACACCGAAAGTCTGAAAAATTTGAATGAACCAAAGGATCGTTTCCTTGTCATCACGATTTGTGTCTGCCTTGCGCATCAGACGGCTTTAGCTCCCATCTTTGAAACATACTTTCTCCTCCCCTTAGAGCCGTATTTTACATAATTTTCATTATTTAACAAATTACAGCATGCACGGACAAAATAATCTAGTAGACCTTAGAAGGGCATTCCCTGAGAAAATAGAATTCTGAAAAAAATGTTCATATTTACATTTTCTTTTTATCAAATTTATTTTTTTTCAAAACAGAGCTATTAAAATGTAAGAAAAATATATCGTGTCAATCACTCAAAAACTTCACCGCAAAATAAATACTAAAATAAGAATGTCATAAATCATGCAGAATACCCACTCAAAAATAAATCTGGATAAAATTGTCATTTCTCGTAACACTCATTACCCACCGGGTATAGTGTCTGACATTAGACCGCCTTACAACGTTCAAAAATCACCGGGATCGGTTAAAATTTGACAAACATTCGAAGCACATCGTTCATTTTGACGGATGAATGAAAAACTTGTAATGAATGTATGTATGTATGAGTTTTTAAGTAAAGTAAGCAAACATGGTTTCAGAATATATAACATTAGGTGTAACGATCTGAATAAAGCTCCTAGATATTGTGTGTACTCAAAGGCTTTAGTTGATAAAGTCATGTTACCTCTGTGGTGAGTAAAATTAATTGATATTTTAAGATGTCGGTTCCAGATATAAAACTCTTGAATTCAAGATTATCTGTCGTCCTTAGTTTTAAATAACTAATTACTCTGCGACAAAGGAAATTGACTTCTTGGCATCAGAGATTTTCAGATTAAAACTCTCCAGGCACAAAATAGTCACTGTATCACGTTTTACTGTAGGCCAGCTGACTGAAGAGAGAGATCGTCTATCTACACCCTAGGCGATGAGTTTTGAAATTGTTTTTCATTCTTAGGGTTTATATAATTTACCACAAAGAAACATTCTTTTTAATGTGAGCAAGTGTGTAATGTTTCATAGACATGAAATAAACTCTGTAACCGTGAGCTTACTCCTTTCGTGCGCCTCACGACGCCTAGAGTCCTTAAAAGCGAAGCTAACTAAATCCCCAGATAGGAAATGTTTAAATGTATCATATTCAGAAGCGTAATCATGCAACCTTTGTAATGAAGAATGGCCTCCAGGATGGAATACGTTTAAGAGACATTCAAATTGAATATATTCCTTTATTTTCTTACTTCTGGACCTTTGCATGGAATTGAGAGTCCATGCATTCAATCGGTAAATTAATGGTAGCCTCGCGCCTTTGGCGTATAATTTTACGAATATCTGTTCTTTTTGTAGCACCCCCCCCCCACTTCCCTTGCAATCGGTTTTTGGTTTTTAATACTCCAGACGAGCTGAGCGGAATAAAATAATTTTCCCGAGAAGCACAAAAAGAAGAAGTCTGATAAATTGATTCGTGGTCGTTTCCGTGAAGAAGGACTCTATCCCAATAGGGAGATGTTTATACCGGAGCAAAGAAGAGTGTTTTACAAACATATTGGATAACAATGGCGGATCAAACCAGAGTGGTGGTGGTTTGATATTTGCAGTTCAAAAAACAAAATCTCATGAAAAAAAGCTATTTAAAATTGGATTTCATTTTGCCAAAAGGAGCCAGGAGCACCCCGATGTTGCTGGAGTTGTGAAACTTACATTCTTTGCAAAAATTTACTGAAATCGTGCAAAAATTAAATAATAAAAGGTAATTTTCGCCTTAAATTCGTGGTTTTTGGGAGTAAAAATAAAACTTGTCTCGATGATCAGTTTATATTTTTGCAGGGTGAAAAAAGTTGCACAATTTTAACGACATTGGGATGCTCTTGGTTCCTTTTTGCAGAATGCAATCCAAAATATATATTAAGAATCACGTTGATGGGCGCTTAGGTGGTCACAAATCAACGCGGTGAATTATCAAACCACATTTCAATCACCAACAAATCAACAATCGTTTTAAAATCTCAACTTCATTTTCAATTTTTAAAAACGGAAGGATTTGCGTCATTCCTTTGATATCTTCACGGTGCGCCCTTCACGGAAAGAAAGTAAATTACAGAAATTATTGAAGTAGGTACGACCTTATGATAGTTTCACACTGAAACAAAGTACGTATGACAGGAGTATCGCAAAGCCGCGGCGCATTGTTAATTGGACTGCGTTTAGCAGAAATGAACCAGGTCACATCAACTATCGCCAAATGTAACTTGGCGATTTAATTTTTTACAAGAGAACATTCGTGCGGTTTCCTTTGAAAATTTATAAGTAATCTGCTTTCCACTCTGCATAAAATTCAAGTGGGCAAGTTCATGGCACGCTGCGGCGCGGCGTGCTACCGCCGCCAGCTCGAAATGCACACTGACGCCTACAAACCTAAATGGATACTTCAAGCATTGCGCAATGCGTGAAGTAGCCCTTTAGGTTTGTAGGCGTCAGTGCACGTTCCGCGCTGGTAGCACGCCACGCCGCGGCGCCCCTGTCGCGGACGGGTAATGAACGGTTTCTTGCGATTGCGGATAGAGCTCCCTGTCGGAGAATTTTTTTTTTTTTTTTTTTTTTTTTTTTAAACATTTTTTTAATATTCGACTTTTAAAATTACACACTGGTCGTGTGAAGTAATAGGTGAACTCTCAACGCTAGATGACTAAAGGCAGGTTGTGTGCCATACGAGCTGTGGACGGCACAGGGCGGCTCATGAAATTCTCCCCTGTGCTCTGCCGGTTCACGCATATTCCTTCGAAAATTATACCTCGCACCATGCAGAAAATTCACTGAAATTCGCACAAAAATCCGCACAACCGTTTCCATATAAATTATTAAATTCCCCAATTAAATTTGGCAATAGCTGATGTGGCTTGATTCCTTTCTGCTTAACGTTGTCTACTCAAGAAATTTAAAACATCAAGATTTTTGGAAAAAAAATTTTCGATCATAGAAGTTATATGGACTTATGAAGTTATGTTTTGGGAATGTCACCTG